CCCCAAAACCCCAAAACCCCAAAACCCCTTTCGGCTCAAATTATGCTTCTTTATGAAATCATGATGCAATTAACCAATAATAAATTTAAGTTCATAAGTTAAAGTAAGAGCTGGTTCATAATTTCTTCTGATTATCTTCAGGACCCTGGAATCCAGGGTATCCAGAATATCCAGTTGAATTATCAATATTTTAGTTTAGATTTTGATTGTTTAAGTCTTATCCCATTTGGTATTTTTCTAAGGTCTAAGTCATAGCTTACTGAGCTTTTTATTACTGCTATTCTTCATATTACTACATTTATCTCTACTATTATTACATCAAAAGATCAAAGTTCTTTATCTAATCGTCAGAATATTAGGAGAAATACTTTAATGTCAAACCTTAGTGATAAGTCTTTTGTTTTTAATGTAAATGATGCATTCCCATACCTAAAAGACCCATCATAATAATACATTAGAGAGATTTTGGATAGAACGAATCTGGATTATATTTTGTTGAGATGCTATACATTACAGTGAAAGGCAATAGTATGGCAAAAGCTCCAGATGCAGCACTATTGAATTGTCTTAATTAAATGTATCTTTGTTGCTCTTACTCATTCAAAAATGATCTGTAGTATTTCTAGAGGTAATCAGTGATATATCCTTATTTCTCCTCTGGGCTTAACCTTTGATTTGGCATAAACTTAGAATAGGGAGAAGATGTAAGATTCTCATACCCAATTTATTATTATTACGGCTATGGGGTATTCTTTTAGGCTTAAGAGTTCATAAGATTATCATAAGATTAATCAATCGAAGGCTGTTAAGCATTTTATGCTTAAGTTTTCTGAAAATTTTCTGCATATGGCGACTGAAAATTGATTGGTTGATTGTATTGAGGACTATATGGACTTGATGGGTCGTAGTTATTGTTTTAACTTTTTCTTTAGTCATAAGGATCAACAAATGGCTTGTCGTATTAATTACCAAATTAGGATCCTTGGTTGAAATTGCTCTAATTATTTGGATTGGTTGAATCGTAGAAATCTCCAGAATTTTTTGACATTTATATTTTAATTTATAACCACTCAAAGTAAAAATTTACAATAGGTAAGCGGGGTTTTGGGGTTTTGGGGTTTTGGGG